AAGAATGCCTCTGCTTCTATGTTTGCTTGGCTGGAACTGAACTCGGTGTGCTTTACCGTACACGCAGTGCTCACAAAAGTCCATGCATGGCTTCTTCAAGTTCTTTAGCAAGCCTTTCTTGACTAGCAAATCTAGCCCCTTCTCAGACATATGCCCAAGCCTCCTATGCCAAAGCCGAGTGCACTCACATGGGTCTCCACCACTTCCACTTGTTCCAACTGCTACATCTTCAGTAACTGTAGTACCCTGAAGAGCATAGAGATTGCCTTCACGAATACCCTTCATCACAATCAAAGAATCACGAACAACCTTCTTTACTTCATTCCATGTTACAATCTTGCAACCAGTGGAGTCTAAGGCACCAACAGAGATAAGGTTCTTTCGCAAGTCAGGAACATGTCTAACATCCATCAATGTTCTAACCACTCCATCATGCATCTTGATTCTAATTGAACCAAGCCCCACCGTTTTACATGAATGGTTATTACCCATCAACACGGTTCCACCCTCAGTGCTTCTATAGGTAGTAAACCACTTCCTATTTGGACACATATGGTAAGAGCATCCGGAGTCAAGAATCCACTTACCGGAGGTTTCTTCATCACAAGAGATGGTGTAGCACTCATCGCTTTCCCCTCCTTCCGAGGTATAGCTTACCTCTTGCTTGACTTGCACCTTCCCATTGTTGTTGTTCTTATTGTTCTTCTTCCAAACCTTTTTGTTAGGACAATTTGCCTTGAAATGCCCGAGCTCGCCGCATTTGAAACAAGACCTTTCCGCAAGAGGTCTAGAACTCGATCTAGATTTTTCTCCCTTGCCCTTTGGTCGCACATTGCTTCTACCCCTTACAAACAATCCTTGAGCTTGCTCCTTGTTACCACTGGTAGACATGCCACTAGTTGCAATCTTTCGAAGATCATCCGCTAGAAGTGACGTTCTAGTGTCCTCCATCACAAGTTTATCACCCACAAGCATCAATGTTTGTACTAGGTTCTCGTAAGACTTTGGCAATGAAAGAAGTAGTAGAAGTGCTTGATCCTCATCATCTACATCCACATCAATGTCCTTCAAGTCCGATATGATCCTATCAAACTTGTTGACGTACTCCCGGATTGGTGTACCTTCATCCATCTTGCAAGTATACAATTTGGACTTCAAGTAGATCCGATTTGTTAGAGTCTTCGTCATGAAGTTTGCCTCCAACTTTGTCCACACCTCCGCCGCCGTTACCTCACTATCAACCAAGAAAGCAACATCTCTTTCAAGGTAAAGAATGATAGACGCTCGTGCCTCAAGATCTAGCTCTTCCCAATCTTTGTCCGACATATCAACGTGCTTCTTCTCCTTTCCCGCCAATACCTTGTGCAACTTTTGAGAAATCAACAAATTTTTCATTTGCATTCTCCAATATGAAAAATCATTCTTCCCATTGAATTTTTCTATCTCATACTTCCCAATCTTCACCATTCCTCTAGTAGACATGATTTACTCACTTGTTTACCGAAAGTAAACCACAAAAGTTCACTTGGGAATTTTCACAAACACCTTGTGCACAACAAAGTTCAAGCAACTCACCACAAAATCGAAGCTTAACCACCTTGATTTTGGAAGGAGCTCTGATACCAAATTGTTGGGAAAACACCTCCCAATCAATGCCCAAAGATCAAACTAAGTTGACAAAGTGAAAATTTCCAAAACACTTAAAGAACAAGAAAATGAGGAAGAAATGATTTCAATGGAATATATGAAGATCAATGTGTTTGGATTACTTGAACAAGTCTCAAGTTAATCCCCAAGAAAGAAAATACCTTTGAATTTATACCCAAGATGAACACCTTCAACTTGTAAAATTCTCACCAAAGTTTTTCTCTCTAATTTTTCTCTCTAGGTCTTGTCTTGTGTTGTATATTGAAAGAGGGAAAAAGAATGGATATATATACTCTATCGGGGCGCCTAGGCGCCACAAGAGTGGCGCCTAGGCGCCATGTTTCTGTCCCGAAGCAGAAACGGGGCGCCTAGGCGCTGCCAACTCCAGCGCCTAGGCGCTGCTTGCTCTTCCTTCCCAGCTCCTTCAACTTCTCTTCCTCCAGCTTCTTCAGCTTCTCTTCTTCTCATTCTTCAGCTTCTCTTCTTCTCACAGTAAACATTGTCATTTAAGTTTATGTACCAAATAATTGTAAGCTATTGGTCATTTGCACCAGACATGATTTGATATAGATCATCAACATTTTCCGATATCGAAAATTGAATGAAATGTTAAACTTGTTTATGAGTTATGTTCTACCAGTAAGTGAATGGGTGTCTTGCCATGATTTATCAAATACTAAACTGAAATAAACCTCAACAATTCAAAAAAAATGTGACTTATCTGCCTACCCCCTTAAATTTTTTTAGTCAAAGTGAAAGGAATATATAATAGGAAATTAAATAATTTTTAACTTAAAACAAACAAGGTAAAACATTTAAAAAGTTTAGAAATTATAGCAGTACTTTAAAATTAAGTTTTTTCCCATTTTAGTAGTAGTTCTCATTCAGTCATTTGATCAAGAAATTGAGCTGCAGGAAAAAGTGAGCGGCCTCATAGAAATGGACGAGCTCTGAGTATAAACAATGTCGAATGCAGCCATACATATGAACTTTAATCGCTTGGAAATATCACCATTATCCCACATCGAAACTTTGAGTAACATACAAACAACTTTATAATGTAAATTTTAGCAGCCGTCCAGCGGGCAGCAAGTAAGACATTCAAGACATAAAAAATACACAATTGATGGTTTATTTGTCTGCCCCTTTTTGAGTGATAGCATTAATCTGTCATAAGAATTAACTCTCTTTCAAAGAAAATTCATATTTAACAAAATCCACCTCTATCCAAGATAAATTTCATCATATTCATTAAAGATAACTAACCAAATGAAGACCAATATGCTTTTCGCCTTGCCTGAGAACCACTTTCTGCTCTGCCCAATCAGTTTTCCTGATCTTCTCAGAACTAAAATGTGCTTAATTTTTTACAATTGGGTTAAGGTTACTGGAGACGGCTAAATTTTGCTTTGAAGGTCTTTTGCCCGACACGATTGGTCCCTAAATTGCACGTAAAACAAGAAAAGATGAAAATTCAGTGGGTCAGTGAGTAAAATCATCGATATGACCACTTTTGTTCAATGAGAAATGTCCAAATTTTAATTCATAATGTATGTTGGAAATCCTATTTAGAAGTTGTTTGAGTCCCATTTTTCTTTAAAAATGCATTTTTAAATGGTGTTATAATGGAGAATATGTGGTTAAAAAATAAAAAATTATTTTGGATACGCGTATAATATTATTTATTAAAAATGTGTTGTTAAAATAATTTCAAATCACAATTAAAAAATATATTTTGATAAAAAAATAGAACTTAAACAAGGGCTTAATAACTTTCCTATTAATATCTATCTCAGAATTAAATTCAAATGTGGGAATTGGGTAGGATAGTCCCTTTTGCAAAGTTATTTGTAATTACAAAATAATAATAATAATAATAATAATAATAATAATAATAATAATAAATTAAAAAAAACTTTGACCAAAATATTAAAAATAAAATAATTCTTTTATTAATTAGTAAATATGATTTGCCTAAAATATCCATAAGCCAAAACAATGGAGTGAAAATTAGGTCAACTATCCTCAAACAATAGAATACTGAATTAAGCTACTCCAATAAGGAATCTTGACAGGAATTGTTGATAGAACTGATGTGGCAGATACAATCTCCTTTAACAAAAAAAAGAAAAAAGAAAAACCATCTTCCGATGAATGCATGCCAAGTATTTTCTACCAACATTCCCTATTTCAGTAGCATGATTAATAAAATATTAGATTAATACCCTTAAAACTGATTAAAACTATAAATTCTCATATTAATTACAGCCAAAACCTCGAAAGCTCAAAAATACCCACAAATTGATTTTGTCACTTTTTAAAGATTTTATCACTTCTTTAAATATTTGTCTTTTTTTTTTTATTTATGTCACTTTTCATTTGATAGCCTTTCTTTCATCATCTATATAGGATTAAGAATTAATTATACTACATGAATATTGGTTTTAAGAGACATGATATGTATGAAAAAGTAACATAATATCTTTTAGCAGTGGTATACATCACCCTAATTTCACTTTTTTACACTTCCAAACTTAATAAAATTGTTGTCAATGCAGATATATCATTGTTTTTAATTAAAAAAAAAGTGAATTTTACGTTTTAACAATTGTTGTTGCACGCATTCTATTAGAAAAGCAATTTTGATCAATTTTTCACTTTTATCTTCATTATCTTGTTCCAATTTGCCTCAATAATAAATAAAGAAGTTAATTTTATCCATATCTACAAAAAGAATATAAATGAAATATTTTAAGACTTAAAAAAAAGAGTGATAGAGTATGTTACTTTTAAATTCCATCACATTAATTCATATGCGAAAGCCAAATGAAACAAGTGTATGAATCTTTTCAATTATCCAAAAGAATTTCAAACGTGATAGAATGTAATTTTCAAAAACAAAAAAGTGACAGAAAATATAATTTTTTCCCATTCTCATATTTCTATATACATTTTCATAAACATGTTGCATGCATCACTTGTATTGATTCAAAGTTGATTTTTTATATTCATTAACTCAATCTAATTCAAAACTTTCAACCATTATGTCTATCAAAATTCAAAACTTTTCCATCCTTTTTTTTTTTTTTTTTTGGTGGGGGGCGTCTAAAATCTTTAATTTTTGTGAAAAAAAAAGATAATATTTAGCCCTAGAGTAAGAAAAAAATTTGAAGGTGTCCTAACATATCATCTTCAGATTTGAAGCTAAATAAATACTACTTCCAACTTCAATGTTGCTATCAATGCTACTACAAATCCAAAGGAACAATAGAGAGGATTAACAGGGAGATGCAAAGTCAAATCAAGAAATCGTTCCATTTTTGCCCTTCGGGGCATAGTCCACTGGCGCAAAAGACAGGAGTGAGGTTATCTCACGCAATATTGACAGTCGCAGTGTAGGTATTCGATTCCTGAGATATGGATCGGACTCCTTGTAGGCGTAGTGTACAGGCAACTTTTGTTTCTTGGCCTGCTATGGCACATCCCGCGATTTACTTTCCTCACAAAATTCTAGGGGCGGAGTGGGGCCCTCAAGGTTGGGATTCAACCTTTTAAGAAATCGTTCCATTTTCCAACTAAGAGAAAAATTTTTGACCCCAACTTGTGAATGAATTGTTGGACGACGACTCGCAAATGCTTTGCTAAGACTTTCCTGACTTTTTGAATGTTGAAGAATCGAATGAACCCTATAAATATTCAATGTCGAGGGAAATCGCAACATGTACAAGAGAGGGATCGTAAACGCCTAATGTCCCAAATGTTGGGGAATTACATTGATGTGAAATACAGGAGCCTTTCAAAAGGATATTTGTGGGAAGATTCAATCTGAGGAAAGGATTGTAGAAATAAGAGTGTACAATCATCACCATTTTTGTGGAGAAAAATCCAAAGAATCTCACGACATATATCATATTTTCTTTGTCTCCGATTTGAAATTAAAGAAATTTAGCAGAATTGGAAATTTATTGGAGAAATTTATTTTTACAATTAAAATAAAATCCCCCCAAAAAAAAATAGTAGAAAAGTTCTTCTCTTTTTTATGATTTCTCTTCAATGATTTGAAGCTTGAAAGAATGGGAAACTAGAATTGGTGATTGGCTTCCCTAGTTAACAAGTAAAGGATAATTAGCACAAAATATTTCTACATTTTGATGTTATTGTACAAAACGTTTGTACCTTTTCATTTTTTTTTTGTCATTTTCACCCTTTTTTCACCTTTCGTTGCGAAAATCATCACTTTCATCCAATTTTTCAATAAAAAAAAATATAAATGACAAATATATCCTCTTATTTAAATAAATAAGAAAAGAAAAGAAAAATCAAAGAACAAATTGCAATCATACTCTAAAACTTTTTTAAAAAATGCAAATGAGTCCAAATAAATTATTAAAAGGGCAATTACTACAAAACGTCCTTACATTTTATTTTTTACATTTTCAACCTTATTTTCACATTTTATTGTGGAAATCATGATTTTCTAATTAAAAGTTGTAAGATGATAAATATACTATCCTATTTAAATATAAAAAATAAACAAAAGAAAAATAAAGAACAAATTGTAGCATACTCCCAATTTATTATTATTATTTTTTAAAATACAAATAAATAATTAAAAAATAAAAATTCAACAAATTCCACATTTAAGTGTACAACCACATTCAAGTTCACCACATGCAAATTCAAGAAAAATAACTAAAAATAACCTACAAAAGGCACAAAAACGGGTACTTACCTAACTACCCTTTTAGCCTTTCAAATTCCTTTTTGAGTAAGTCATCAACGATAAGAATTGCCTTTTTAACCTCAATAGAATTCCATTTCCATCCTTTAAATACTTTTCCATTCTTTTGATTTAGTTTTCAAATAAAAAATTCATTAATGCTGCTGAAACAGGGGTTAAAATCATGGAAGAAGAAAATATGCTGTCTATCATGAGATTCTCTGGACTTTTATCCACGACAATGGTGATGATTGTACTCTCACCTTCTCTACAATCCTTCCATCAGATTGAATCCTCCCTTAAATTCTCCTTTCGAAAGGCTTCCACATTTCATAGTGTCGATCAATGTAGTTTCCCAATATTTGGGAATTAAGCATTTGTAATCCCTCTATTGTACATGTTGCGAATACCTCGAGCTTGAATACTTATAGGTTTCAATCGTTGTGGTTCATTCAATTCGACAACTTGTGCGTCTCCCTGTTAATCTTCTCTCTATTGTTCCTTTAGATTTGTAGTAGCACTGATAACAACATGGAAGTTGAAAGTTAAATTTATTTGGCTTTGGCTCTAAAGAAGATAAGTTAGGATTCCTTCAATGTTTCCCCTACTTTGGGGCTAAAAATTGTCTTTTCACAAAAATTGAAGGTTTTAGAAGATAAGTTAGGATTCCTTCTAAGTTTCCCCTCTACTTTGGGACTAAAAATTGGCTTTTTACAGAAATTGAAGGTTTTAGACAAAGAAAGAAAGAAAGGAGGAAAGTTTTGAATTTTGATAGATATAATGATTGAAATGTTTGAATTGGATTGAATTAATAAATAGTTTTGCTAGACGAACAGGGCCATGTCGACCCTGTCTGTCCAGAGTGCTGATGTGGTGCCCCTTATCGGTCAATTTTGGATCAATTCGAGTGATGCATGCATTAGTGAAAATGTAAATACAATTATGAGAATGAAAAAAATGATATTTTCTGTCACTTTTTTAAAAAAAGAAAGAAAGAAAGAAAGAAAAAAGCAAAAAATTGTAGTTTGTCTTATTTGAATTCTTTTGGATCAATTAAAGAGATATATACGTATGTGTAGGACCGTCCTTGAAAATTTAGAGGCTATCCAATAAATTATTTTTTTTAAAACTAGGCGTGATAACTGTCTTACCAATGTGGGCTATTGGCGATCTTGAATTGTTGGTAGCTACCACCATTCAGCTTCCTTTGTACTCCGTTGTATTTAGCAACTTCTCTTTATTGCTTGTCATGTGGTTGGAATATCTAGAATCGAAAATCCAATCATTTTCTTTATTACCACTAGTGCTGATTCTTTCTCGGAACCTTGACTGCATTCCTCCCCTTGAGTCTGCTTCGTTAGTGCGAACGATGCTATAGCATCCCATTCTTCTTCACTATTATATTTTTCTCGTTCATTAGACGTTGTCATATTACCTTCTGCTGATCTTTTGTTGAATCGATAATTTCTAGCATAATGGCCTCATTTTCCACATACAAAACATGAGCCATTATTTTCGTTGAAATCTTTTAGATGGCTGACCTCTTTTATCGCAACTTTGTTTAGGTTTCCTCGTCACAGAATTTTCTTTATATTTATTTTATTTTAATTCTCTATTATTCTATTGATGTGATTGATCTCTTCTTTTATAACTATATAGTGTTACTTCCTTTTTTTTTCTTTATTAAGGCCCCTAACATTTGTCATGTTAACGCGTCTTGATCGGCCAACAAGTTTTTAATAATGACTAATG